ATATTCTTTTTTTATTAGCTATATTGTTAGATGTATTAAAAGGATTTCGGAGGGTTTTATAAATAGATTCTATGTACTTTTAAAAAAAATCTAGGTTTTAAAGAAAGACCTGGATCAGATTTCAAAGAAAGAAAATTCAAAATTTCGATTTTATGAAGCTGAAAATTTTCTCGAATATCAAAATATCGACATATTAATTTTTTCCAAAACCCGGGTGAAGTCAAAAATCTACACTCATTCATATCCATATTTCTAACCAACACGTAATCAAAAACCTCACAACCTGTTCAGAAAACTCGGCTCAAAATTTTCCTTACGTCGCACCAACTGAACACACACACATACACGCGAAGATAATAATAAGAAAAAAGAAGGAAATAAAAATAAAAATCTAAAAAAGAGGAAGACAACGAGGTAAGCGTGTTTCCCTGTGTCTAATAGAATTTTGATGGGAAGCTATAAATATACCACTTGGAAACGATGAAGTCATTGGATAATGACTGTCATAGAAATGACTTTTACGATCGATGTTCCCTCATCCAGATTCTTCCCTCTCCCTCCCCCTTCAACCCCCTTGTTCCCTCAATCGCGCCAGAACTTTACCAATTTCAGGATACCCATCCAACTGAAGGTTGTAAAGGCGCCTTAATGTGTATCTTCGCGCTCTCGTACGCGGCGCATCGTAAACGGCGCTTGGCCGTAATTTAATGGCCCCTTCTTGATCTTGTTTTACAGCACAAGGGATTGAGCAGTTTGAAATTGGAAAGTTATATAATCGAGTGATACATGCCGATGCGGGCTTTTGCTTAGGCGAGTATCGGACCATCGTTGGAATTTATGTACGTGCCGCTTCCTTGATAGCCAATATTTCCATTAAAAGGGTAATTCCTTATTGGCCATGCTTTTCTAATTCTCGTTGGATACAAAGTTGGAATTCCATGGGGGAGCTTGATTTATGGCACGTGGGGAGGAAATTAAATTTCTAAGGCATAATTGTGTTGCTGTTTAAATTGAAATACGACAATGCAGGTAGTTTACACTCGAGGAGGGTAGTTTTTCTTTTTGATGGTCGTTTATGGAATTGAAAGTTGTTCTTCGAGGTTTTCCGGATTTCTGGATGCGTAGTTTGCGTTTTGGATGATTGGGTCTGGTAGTTTGGTAATAGACTTCATCTTTGTGATTTCTTATTGGAAAGTTACCAATTTGTGATCGATAATTGATGTAATTGACGTGTCTCTATCGAAGATTTATAGTTCAAGTTGGGTTAAATACAGAAAACTTTTGGTACAAGTATTACTTAATTTTTGGTAACTCGAGATTAAAATATTTTTGCGAAATGAATAGATTTTTGTTTTTTGTAATTTAGGGTAATTTATCTTCCATCCTTAACGTGTACTTATAACCCTTGCAGATTTTTTCAATAAATTCCCAAACTTACTAATACTTAATAAGGACAGAGTTTATAGTGAATAATTGATATTTGATATTAAAAAATATATAAATATTTATTACAGTAATATTTATTACTTTATAGGTATTAAATAAATCTAATTATATACATATTTACTGCCAAAATTTAAAAAAGAAATTTACAATTTGCGAATTTTCTGTATATTCTCTATTCTCCGACATACATAGGATAAAATAAAATGTTTAAAATAACCATATTATTTATCAACTGTTGGAATTAAATGACACTGTATTTTTATCTATATTACTCTAATAATTTATTACTAACAATTTGGTTCTTATTGTACAAACTCTCTATATACCTTCTTTTATTCTCAACTAACTCAACTGACTCAACTAACAAGGACTGAGGACTAAGTACTGATTTATTGCCGAAAATCTTCATATACAAGGTGTCCTAAAGAAACATATACACACTTTAATACCTTATTCTTTCTAATTTATTTTTTCTTTTCTTCAACCCATTTAAAATAATAGCTGATTTTAGATTAGACTTTGAAAACGTAAATACATTTTAAAGTGCTGCCATCATAATCTGTAATCCATCTAAACATATACTGTTTTTATAATCACGCAAAAGTGTGTATATATCTTCTTGGGATACCTTGTATATACACATTGCTCTCCCCACTCCAACTAGGAAGCTCGTATCTACCAATTATATGCATATAATTACCTAAAGAGCATAAAAAAATTCGCAACTGATTATTTTGTTTCGCAATTTTTGTCAGTAGACTAAATTTTCGTTGCAATAAAAGTGAACATAAATGTTGCCAAGATCAGCAACGCGATTTCTAATACTCGGTAAGGAAATCGAGGCAAACATCACCGGTTAGAGCCAGCTCGTAGACAGGTCCGAACGTAAACATCACGGGTCGTGGGTAAATTTTCGCCGATGTCTCTGAGCCTCAGTCCCGTGTTATTCTCGGTCGCGTTCGCACGAAGTTTCTCGAGGTGTGACCGACCGTGTTGTTAATCATGGCACGCGTGATCGAAGCCGAAATCGTAGGGCAAGCGGTTAAGAGCGGGCAATCATCAGAAAATCCGACGAACGCTAAGTTGAGCAAGGTACGTAGTCCACCGAGTAAGCACGCCACCCCACTGGTAGCCGGGGCGACCCCCTGAAACGTTCGCCCTGTTCAGCGATAAATTAACGCGAGCAACAAATTCGGCTGGCGCGATCCCCGTGGTCCCGTAAGAGCATGTGCATCGATGGGACCAGGCGGGGAATCATCAGGATCTCGCATCGCGTGGAACGATCGCGATCCTATCGTCCAACAAATTCGGCCGTGTGCACGAGTTACAGCCGCCATAAAATTCCGGCCATTTAACGATGGCAAGAATTTATTGGATATTTTTGGTAGCTAATGTGGCCAGTGACCTGGGTATACCTTCTCCTTCCCTTAAATTCTTCCATTCTTCGTCTGTCTTCCCTCCCTCCTCCCCTCCTGGCCCTCCGGAGTAGCCTGGCTGTCCTAAAACTCGCGTACTCCTCACGCGGCGCTGCGGAGTACGCGTCTCCTCTGATCGAGCATGAAGATAATGGCGCCAGGACGGGTTCATTTATTGGGCGTAAATCTCGGCTCTCCGCCTAGCGGCGCTCGCCGTGTAATCGCGTCCTATACGGTTATCCCTCTTAACGTATTTCATCGAAATTCCTGGTGTCGAAAGACACCGTTTACACGCCGCGACGTTAAGGAAGCTTTACGACGCGGCCGTGGCTACCGCCTCGTTACGAAACCGGTGTTAGGAAGCGAGCGAGAGGGCGCGACAGAGAGCAGCTGAAAGTCGGTACGCGAGGAAAACGTACAACACGAGGTCGGATTTATCGACGACGACGATGCGCCGAAATACGAGCCGCGGCTGAGGCAAAGCCGCGGGAAACGCGCAGGCCTGGTATTCGTAAGTGGAGTCGCTCGTCACGCGAGAAGCCGATATTTTATGGATTATCTGATCGGAACGGGGGCTCCAGTGTAACCTGCTGCTGGATTCTGGATGGATGTCAGCTGGCCTCAGGTGCCGGGTTGCCGCGGTGCTCGGCTCACGGTTTTGCCACGGTTCCAGTTAGAGTTTCCAGCGGATAGGGTCCGTTTGGAGTTGGGTCAGGTTAGGTCTGGCTTTCTTAGGCTTCGATTTGAATTGTGGGAGAAAGTGGAGCAGCAAGAGGTCGGTTCATGGGACTTGTGAGGGTTGTGGATGAGTTTGGTAGGGATTAAGGGTGTAGGGGTCAGAGTGGTCATCGTGGATTTCGGTGATTTCCAAATTTGTCGTAAACGATGGAATTTTAAGCTAGTTCTTTTTCTTTATAGTTCGAAATTGGTCTTAATTTCAGAGATATTTATCGTGGATTTGGGTAATTTCCAAATGTGCCGTAAAAGATGGAATTTTGAGCTACTTCTTTTTCTTTGTAGTTGGAGATTGGTCTTAATTTCAGAGATATTAGCACGAAATTTTGTCGAATTTTGAGGATAGGTGTGCATCTGTTGGATAGGCAGAAGCAAAGATGCTTGTCAAAAAGTAGATTGTTTATATAGACTAAACACTGTTATCTGTTTCTCGAAGCAGTGGCGTAGAAGTTGCGAGTTCACTGCCAATTTTTCTGATGTAAAAGTTGATAGATAGTAACATAATTTTAGGCTACATGTAAGGTATAATTATTCGGTTCGATCAAAGATTAAATATTGGTGCAGAGGGAGAAGTAGAGATTACAGAACAAATCTCATACATTGTTGCATTCTTTTCTTAGAATCTTAAGATTTTTGTAACAAAAGACTGTAGTATATGGAGAATAATGTAGATTCACTCAGAGATTTTAATTAAATACGTGATTGGAATGTAAATAAACTTCATTCCAAGTTATATAATAGTAATGGATTAAGACTCACGAAAACGACAAAGAAAACATCCAAAAAATCTTATCTAGAATGTATTTATCTAGCAGGAAGCCTAGAAAGTCTTATCTAGACAGTTATTACTGAAAGCAATTTAGGTAACGGCTTAGGAATAATTCTTCCGCTAGTTGGTGTCATTCTACACTTTGTTGTAACATTAAATTTGCATAAATTAACGTTCATACCAAACGTCAAAGTATACAGTACACCTAGAAAAATCTATACTCTAAAAACTTAAACTTGTTCATCCTAAAAATGTTCAAAATACGTTCCTAGATAAGTTTCAAATGTCTCGAATCCACCTATATTCACTGAAATCCAGGAATAAATACAGATCTAGATGATCCAAATGCAAATATAGAGTATACTGTGATATGTCACACTAAAATACAAAAGAATTATATAATACCAGCAGGCGATTTAGAATGTAGATAATAAATATTACTTTATCAGTACCATGTGCGTCACAATGATCAGATCAAAGTAATATTCCAATGCGACTAACTTCCTATCTGTTTATCACGCGACAGCGTTCCACATTTGCCAAATATTTGTCGATCAATTCGAATATTCGTCTTCGACATCACCCGATATCGCAGAATTCGGGACTTATTAACACGCAGTCCCCTTGTTTTGCAGGTGAGGTATCAGGTGAGAACGTGTCCGCGAGCTCTGGACCACGTGGCGGCGATCGTGGAGAGGCGACTGATTTAGGCACACACACGGAAAACAACGACGGGGCCACCCTGGCCGCCAACACAGCGGTCGACGCAAGGGGCGGCAGCCCCCAGGGTGCCCACCTTTCCGGTGCGGCAACCCCCAGACCGCCGAGGGGGAGGAGGCGACAGAACCAGAATGGTCTCGACACTACTCAAGTAAGTTGCACGAGTAACCTAATTTTTCCCCGAGATTGACTCCTTCCCGTATTTTGACGAGTCTGACTCGCGATGAAGGTTTTGGCCCAAACACGAATATCACGAGCCAGACTCGTGAACAGAACATTTTTCTAAATATTGTGTTGAAACTGTCACCTGTTATAAAGTATAATATATTTATAATATTTATGAAAGGAAGAAGGATTAGAGAGTACTTTCACAACGGTTGTATCGCGTAGAACTGACTATATCACACGTTTTCGGGCATCAGTATAGTTTATTGACGCCTATCGTTTGGGTCCGGATTTCGTCGAGCTAAATGAAGGGGTTGATGCCCTAATCTCGGCTATTATCTGATCCAGGATACCATGGAATTATTTTCTTCCCTCTCTTCGTCTTGTAATCTGACATTTTAATTTTTAAAAACGTTCTTGAATTCGTAATAATTTTTGGCATTAATTAGGAATTAGTATTAAATGTAGGTTGCAAAGTAGAAACGGAAAATGATCACAAAAGTATGCTAGTCTCTTGAAAAGTTATATCAGGAGATATTTGCATTGATTATACCGATTGTATTGTACTGTATAATTATATAAGTTCGAAAGGGAATTTGAAGACATCTATAGTAAAATAACAAATTTAATGTAGTAGACAATGGTAATTGTTTTGATCCTCAGTCTGATAGTCCCATTATTACGATTATGCTTTTCAAATGAAATAGCACTTTGAAGACACGTGAAGGAATTTTTGAGTCATTATAGTGCAACCCAAGAGTTGATCAAATCAAAGGTTACTTTAATTTTATCTAATAGAGGCTTCACTGTCACCCAGGTGCCTTTTTATTATTTAATTTATTGTACACTAAAAGGTATTTTCGTTATACAGAAAATTAGCAACTCGCAGAGCTTTCCTGTACTAAAGTTGCTAATATTTCGTTCAAGGACGTGTATAATTAACAACAGGAAGTGAAGAGTCGTTAATATCAATTATTAATGTTCATAATCTCGCTAACTGGAGGACAAGTCTCGTCTCACGAGTGCGCAGGGTTAAGTCTTCCAACATGGGATATTCGGCACTTTGAAGTTACCTCTTTATCTGCAGCAAACTTAGGCTAAGACACTCTTTGACACAAGCCATCCATTCGAGGATCCCTTTCACCGAAGGTTACCGACCTTTACCCTAAAATCAACAATCCCTTTTTTCCTCGTGTGCACTCATTCGCCTCTTTCCAAATCCTTCGTGATCCCTCCGACCAATCCCTACTCACACTACGAGCCGCCTAAAATTACCTGCAACCCTTCTCGCAAGAATCCGACGAAGAAGAAAGCAAAAGGAAGGAAAACCGTAGAGGAATTTGACGCACGTCCGTGGTCAGGCTGTTTGCCTTCCAACAAATATCCAAAAGACTCGTGTTGGCCGCGGTCTCGAGTGTTTGATCGTCATCGGGAACAGGCTGAAGGAGCCTCCTCGAGATAGAGTTTACCAGTGGAAGCGGTAGCGTGTACACGTGTGCACGAGCGGTCCCGTTCGATGCAGAGCCTGGCCGGGTGCTCTATGACAGCGATGTCAGGCAAAGCCGCAGTGTCATCCCGTCGCTGACATCCGTTCGACGCTTCTGTAAACGCGGTGCCAGAGGCCAGTGAGGGAAAAAAGGGCGAAGAGAAGGAAGCGAACGGTTCGGTGGCCGGGAAATTATCGACGGTCATCGTTCGGGAAGAATGGCCATCCGATGACACGTGAAAATCCTTCGACAGCTACCGCCATCCTTGCTCCCTCTCGATGAAGATCGCCGCGTGGAAACAGCGGTCAAGGATAGAATTGACAGGGAATCTTGATAGAGCTGGATACTCGGTGGATCCAGTCTGTTCGTTCGTTTCGATCGGTGTATTCGATAATTAGTCTGGTATGCACGCCAAGCTTGTTCTATTTTGATGGACGAGAGGCAGAGCAAGGTACTTGGAAGCTGAGACGAACGATCCGTTTTTTCCTTCTCGTTCGAGCGAATGTGGCTAGGTGGCTGGGATTAATTGGAGTGGGATTGGTTTGATTGATGGATTTTGGAACAGTAGAGGAGTTTCATCTGTTCAGTATGTTAATTGGCCTGTTGCGCGATTGGCATGATGCGGATGTAACTCTTCCTCTGGTTTGGTACAGGAGAAGTTTGTCCAACTGTAGCATGGTTAGGCAGATAACTTAATATTACTGCTGCTCCTGTTAAATATTTACGAAAGAATGCGTTGTTAAGACTGTTTCATGCTTTTCATTCGCCCGTTAGAAGCTTGGCAGGAATAATTTAAAGCGTTGTGATTTTGGTGACGTTGTCATTGACACCATTTAGGATTTTGATTGAAATCACTTAAAGCGTTGTAATTCTAGCGAAGTTGTCATTGACACCACTTAGGATTTTGGCAGAAATCATTTCAAGCGTTGTGATTCTATCGAAGTTGCCATTGACACCATTTAGGATTTTGATTGGAATCACTTAAAGCGTTGTGATTCTATCGAAGTTGCCATTGACACCATTTAGGACTTTCAACTTTCTTTCAGTTGTAGCTAGTTTTATTATCAATTAGTGAAAGTTTGTTGAAGTCTGACACCAAACATTGGCAATAAATTTTATCCTAATTGTTACTGTAACACGTAGGAATACTTGAAGTGCAACGATGATGTCGGTCAAATCAGACAATAACACAAGTTTATTTATGACCTCCTGAAGTGTATAGTTAGTGTCAATGAAAAAGACTGCCACATGGCACCTTTCTTTTTCCTTCAGTTCAGTTCTATGTCAAAGGTCATACCATTAACGTTGCATTCCTTAAGTTTTATAGAAGTCATTTTTCACCTACTTGTCTTTAGTATTCACTATACTGCTGAACACATAACCTCTCTGCGTTGTAAAGGTAAATAAATTTATTTCCCTGTTTTCATTTATTCCAATTCAGTTCCTAATTTATTGGTTATATATAATAACCAACGTAATAGGTTACACCTATTCAAAGGTGTAACAGTAAAGCAATGTGAAGCAGTGTGACCAACAGAATGCAACTATGCCTATTGGATTGTTCTCATCTGGTCATCCTCAGTTTCCAGCTACTCCTCTAATTAGCCAAAAAAACGAGCACGAGAAACCTGCAGCCTCGCGACTGAAGAGAAGCCTACTTTCTCCGAAGCATCCCCATCAAGCACATAGACTAGCCAGACAAATGAACCACGGTGGCAAATATTTCTCTATTTATCGTGAAACGGGTCGCGCACGTTCGCCAGGACTGTCCTTCTGGTCGCTTTTCTTTCGCAAGAAACTGGCAGAAACGGGTGGACGAGCTCCGTGGAGCCATTCGAAGCGGTGTACACGTTGGGATCGTGTCTACGTTGCGAGAGCCTCGGCCCCTTGTCAGGAAGAGGTCTCGAGGCGAGAAAGAGATTTACCGTGGCCTGTTGGAGCGGCTCCTCGGACTCCTTGGGGACCCTATTCTACGCCAATCGAGTCTCGTTCTTCTTGGTGTCACGTCGCGTTCTCGCCGCCGAAGAGGAGTCAACTGTTACGCCACGCGTTGCCTTCATTACCATATCTCAGATGCAATCTGTTCCCGGGAATTAATGCGCACTGATATTTCCTGCCGGCTCGGATCCTCCCCGAGCCCGGGGCCCTAGAGTGGCTAAGAATGACGTTTTCAATGACAAAGGACGCGAGAGGAGAGTCCACGGTTCGTGTTGGTTTTAGCCAAGATATGGGATTCCGTTGGGCCTCTTCGTTCTTTTTTACGACTTCCTTTTTGGTCACGAGGATCTTTATTGGCTAGTGGAAGTGTGATGTTTGCAGGTGTCGTGATTGATGTGTTTGGTATCGGGCCAGTAAAGGCTGTGGTTTTATTTATTTCTTCTTTTTTTCGTATTCTTTGAGGATATACCTCCTTTTTCTTCTTTTTTCTTTCGTCAAACGATGCGAGGTAGCTGTTGGAACGATCAACCGTCGTGATTAATTGCATTTTAATAGGGTATTTTAACAATGTGCTATATCAAAGCGTAGGGATGATTTATTTCATCTACTTATTTATTTGTGAATGTACACGTGTTATACTTAATGATACGTTCCACTGCGAGGCGATATAATTCTGCAAGGCCATAGATTTGTACGGGGAACTTGCTCGCGAAAGAAACTTGGAATTCGAAGGAAGATACGCGTATATATATCAAGGAATTCTTTTCAGCAAATATTTATATATCGTATAACACCTTGCGGAAAATAGAAAATTTTATTGCATTTTTAACCTTCGTTGGTACCATTAACTCCCTGCCTTGTGATTTTTTCTACAGGCTGCTCGAGTGAACTAATTGCCATTGCAAGGCCATCTTGTAACATTAAAATGTGTATTTACACGATTTATTTATTGTTTTATTTAATAATCTTCAGCGTGACGAATAGAAACTGATGTTGTATTGTGGACTAACGTTGCCTTTATCGAGAGGAAATTATGATCCTTGATACGTGTGTGACCGGATGTTGCAAGGGATTCATTTTGTTTCCATCAGTAAAAATGCGAAGATATTACTGTATACACGGAATCGCGAGATATTTTCAATTTATTTATTTATTTATTTATTTATTAAACAGAAAAATCCATTAGAATTCAAAGAAAAAGAACGTATAAGAAGTTTACAAGTTTCTTAAAATAGAACAACAGCAAGCATCCAGAGAAACACCAACAAGTTACAAACACCATTGCATGATTGTTGTTATTTACTATGGAAGTGATTCGACATGTAGGATTGGTGTTTGAGTATTGTGATTTGTAACAGACAGGCCGGATTGTACGCGATGTTCTAAATGCTCCTTGATGTACATAAAGGTTTATATCATTAAGTAAGGAAGGACATTTAATCATCAAGGCCATTTAAAATTTTGTAAAGGAAAAGGAAGTCCATAACTGTCCTCCTAGATGCTAACGAGATGAGATTCAATCTGTGCAAGATAGGTACATAATCATGGTCAGTAAAATGCATCGGGGTACCCCACCTATGAACTGCAAGTCTCATGAAGCTATGTTGCACTCCCTTGATAAGCTTTATATGCTTGTTAATATGAGGAGACTATATAATAGATGCATTTTCGAGGTTAGATCTTTTATTTAATATTATTTAAAAAATTAACGACGCGACATTTAGTTAATACGTTATACCTGTTAATAGTTGGTTAATTGTTAGTATAGTTGTTAGTTATTATGTTTCTGTGTTAAATTTAAAAATCATAATTCTCGAAATTTATGCATCGGGGTACCCGACCTATAAGCTGCAAATCTCATGAGAAGCTATGTTGCGCTTCCTCCATAAGCTTTATATGCTTGCTAATGTGAGGAGACTATATAATAGATGCATATTCGAGGTTAGATCTTTTATTTAATATTATTTAATATTATTTAAAAAATTAACGACACGACATTCAGTTAATATGTTATACCTGTTAATAATTGGTTAATTGTTAGTATTATTGTTAGTTATTATGTTTCTGTGTTAAATTTAAAAATCCCAGTTCTCGAAATTTATGCATCAGGGTACCCGACCTATGAGCTGCAAATCTCACGAAGCTATGTTGCACTCCCTCGATCAGCTTTATATGCTTGTTAGTGTGAGAAGACCATATAATAGATGCATATTCTAGGTTAGATATAACAGAGGTGATGTACAGTAAACTAAGACAATAAATATTGCTGAAATCAGAGACCTTTTAACACTAGATTTACGAAACCCGTCAATTTGACGAATGTCAAATTAATATTGCTCTAATTATACGATGGTAACATATTTAGTTAACTTATATTAAGACTGTTAATATTGTAATTGTTTTTAAATTAAACTAATCGTTAACAGAAGAAAAGACACGTGGTTTCCTTTACCTGTAAATTTGACAGGTGTCCGTAGAAATAGGTATATATATAGCATCTGTTAACACTGGTGTTAAGAAAACCGATTTGTTTCTTTCGAAAGAGCTTCTAACTGTGATACTTAATTCGTGGAATATAACTAAGGGAAGTATTGGGATTTTATGTTGCAGGTCAAAACAGAACGCCTTACACCAGACAATAATTCGACGTCGTCGAGGAGCGTGACGCCCTCATCGTCCAGCCATCCAGGAACGCCGCCAAATGCTACCCCTTTGGGTGGACCCGAGGGCCCACCACCACCCCATCACCTCAAACACATGGAGCAGATGATGGGACGAAATTATAGCGATTTCATGAGAAGCCTCGCTGCCAAGTACAATAACGCCAACCCTAATGAGTGAGTAGCCTCGCGTTCCTCTCAAAACGACTAGCCTCCATTCCCAGCTATTAGCGGTGATTCAAATGGATTTAGGTTTATATCTCCTTTCCTTTCGCGTGTATGGAAATTATAACTCGATTGGCCGAGATAATTACCCATGACACTGGAACCCACTGCAATGGAGATCTTTAATTCCTTCAGAGAACCGAGAAATTTCATCCTCTTAATTAACAGTAATCTCTGCTGTTAGGCTTACCGTGGGCTGCTAATCTTCGCTAATTTAACTTCCTCTCTGTACATCACAGTTATACAGAAGTTCGTGTGTTTATTAGGTCAGCTTATATGTTATACGATTTTTTCAGAATTGAGGATCTTAACACAGGTTCGAGGAAATATGATAGAAAATGAAGGAAAATGCAATATGTCTTTAGTTCTCGATCTATTCTTCCTCTATTCTTTATTTTTAATACGTCTCTTTTTAAGTTTTATAAGCATCCTTCGAAATTGAATTTCAGGTTCAATTTCAAAATTAAAGTATTATCGAAGGACATTAATTTCGAGCTACGTTATTTGTTTGAATTTCAATTCGATGTACACTGGAAGTATCAAGTATTAATCCTTTGTTAACACGTTGACTGCCGTGGTGGTTATAAATGATCTTGTCTTCTCAGTGAGGCTATGGTGGTCACTAATATCCATCGATACTAATTTTTTAAATTCATATTTGTTTTATTATAGCCATTTTTTAGAACTTTGAACAACGTAAATAAATAGAGAACTTAGAATAGTAAAGGTTAATAACTTTCACCATGTTTTTCTTTTTCTTCGTCATATTGTTCAATAATTCATTATTATATCCTGAAAATAATGGGAATTCTGGCGATACTAATTTTTTAAATTTTTATTTGTTTTATTATATCCATTTCTTGGAACTTTGAATGATATAAATAAATAGAGAATTTTTAATAGAAAGGGTTAATAACTTTCACCATGTTTTTCTTTTTCTTCGTCATATTGTTCAATAATTCATTATTATATCCTAAAAATAATGGGAATTCTGGCGATACTAATTTTTTAAATTTCTATTTATTTGTTTTATTTTCCCCATTTTTGGAACTTTGAACAACGTAAATAAATAGAGAAGTTTAAATAGAAAACGTTAATAATTTGCACCATTTTCTCTTTTTCTTTTTTATCATATTGTTTGATAATTTATCATTATATATTTTAAGAATAATAGAAATTTTATCCTGGCCTCCTGAGCGTGGCAGTCAAAATATTAATACCTATAGACACGATGGATGCATTAATTACGATAAAAATTGTCCAATTTCTCACAGACAGAATTTCTCTGCATCTTCTTCCTACTGTTATTGCAGAGCAAACGAGTCCCTTCACCGATCTACTATAGTAATCCAATAACCTCTATGCCCTGTCTATGAGAAATAAAAATTTCCCGAGTCCTCTCAGCGATCACGCATTCCACGAAGCTCCTAGATCAATTCTCTCAGACGCAATCATCCGTCTCGAGCGCAGCAGCCGCGACTAACTCCATCCGGTATTATTTAAAGAGCATAAGACCTTGAGAGTCGTGACGCTTGCCTTGACATTCTTCATACGATCCCCGGTGTTCCGTGTGCACACGTGGGAACGACGGGAACGCGTAAGAAGCGATCCTCGACGAGGACGTCCGCGCAAAGGCAGCGCGGGGTAGGGAAAATATTGAGATATCGATGCTCCTAGGACCAGAATGGTGCGAGTATCTTAGCAACGCGGAATATTGTCGCCCAGTGCAACCGGTTGCAATTTCACGGACGTGTACGTCGACTCTCAGCTTCCGGCACTTGGCTGCGGGTCGGTTGGCAGAAGGTACCAGCCTGGTCGCTCAGGCTAAGTTCCGCGTGACGCCAGAGGCCCTCGCGACGCTTGCATCTGTGGCATTTCGAGGAGAAAGTGCCTACTTCGTCGTTTCAATTCGGCCGATAAATATACAGGTAGTGGTGGGATTTCAGGTACTTCCAATAGACTCGAATCTATTTGTACGATGGAAAATTCGAACTTCGTTGACCATGATTCGAAGTCTAGGATTCTGAAGCGTCTTGACAGAATATTGCGACAGCTTTGGGTATCTTGAGGTCGTGAAAATGACTTAGATGATTGATCCATGGATCTACCCTTTTCAAACTTTGAAGTTCATTTCAGTATTCGATTTTTTGGACAGCAAATGCGAGATTTAGAACTTCGTAGCGTGATTCGAAGCCTAGGATTCTGAAGCGTCTTGACAGAATATTGTGACAGCTTTGGGTATCTTGAGGTCGTGGAAATGACTTAGATGATTGATCCATCGATCTACCCTTTTCAAAGTTTAAAGTTTATGTGAGTATTCGGTTTTTTGGATACCAAATGAGAGATTTAGAACTTCGTCAAACGTGATTCGAAGCCTAGGATTCTGAAGCGTCTTGACAGAATATTGCGACAGTTTTGAGTATCTTAAGGTCGTGAAGACGACTTGGATAATTGATCCATCGATCTACCCTTTTCAAAGTTTAAAGTTTATGTGAGTATTCGATTTTTTGGACAGGAAATGAGAAATTTAATTTTAATTAGAGTCTCGTGTTGTATCCACATTCGGGACATTAGGGAAGGGCTTGATGTGATCTGTTTTAGGTATATTTGGTTGCACTATCAATACAAAAGAATAGATCAACGAGGATTCATAGGGTAATTTAAAATATGGAGTATAGATTGGAATTCATGAAATGGGTACGAGGTTTATCTTCAATTTTCGATAAATGGTACTTTTCAGAGTTTGAAGTTCACACGATTGTTCAATTTTTTGAATAGAAAATGAGAAATTTAATTTTAATTAGAGCCTCATATTTTATCCACATTCGGGACATTAAGGAATGTCTTGATCTAATCTACTCTAGGTATATTTGCTTGCTCTATCGGTACGATAGAAGAGATGAACCAGAACTCATAGGGGAAATTAGAATATAAGGTATGGATCGGAATTCATGGAATGGATGCGAGGTTTATCTTGTAATTTCCGATAAATGGTACTTTATTTAGGAGAAATTTGGTTCTATGACGTCGTTGGACGAGTCCGTTGAACTTCTTTCCCGGGGCTTGGGTTGATCGTTCTTGGAATGTAGAATCGTTTGGAAGAAATTTACGGGACACTTAGCTGGACGCTATGATATTTCATTTTAGGAAATTTTGGTCGATAGTATACTTTGGACATTATTTTTTAGTACTCTTGAGAAATCTTGCTGAGAGTGTCCAAGTTGCAGGATGAAAGAGTGATAGTCGTATCTATTTATCATAGTTTGATAACCTTAAAATAGGTTTCAAATATGGAACAAGTTTGTGTTTGTTTCATACTTATTCATACATTCATAGTGCTTTCTGTGAGGCTCCTTATTTGTCACACGCATACCAATTTTATTCTGTTATTATATCCTATTGTTATGTTATATCGCTATTTTATTTCCTGTTTAATAATCTCTTTGCTCTTTTTCACTACCCTTTCATTCCTCAACCTAACCTGCCCTGTCTCCATATCTATGCACACTGACATACCTAAGGTGAAAAATAAATGTTACAATATGGAACGTTCGCTGGCACGTATCGTTAACTTGGAGTTACTGTTAATTAAAAATTGAATTTAAAATAAAAGGAAACTACCTGTGAATTTTTCACTTCGAAATATGTTTCATTCAATTCCAAGTTATTCGGATCATTTTTGTTACGGGTTTTAATTGCCCGTGGTTTTCTTCTTTAACATTTTCGAGTACAATTGTACCCGTTAGTCTGTCAATTCGTGAGCAATAACTGTGTAATTTATTTAAATTAGATAGGCATTTTTTAACGATAAGTATGTATGTATGTGTATCTAATACTTGTTTGACAAACGAGGAATTTGAGATAAATACAAGGGAATTCTGTTCATTTGTGTTTGTTCCATTATTCTAGGCTATATATCCGCACTTAACTATGCGCGTATAATAGTGACTTTTATTGCGTAGTAAAATCGTAAATCTTGGATACTTAATTTGCGGTTAGAATTGTCAGAAATGATCAGCTATAAATTATGATCCATTGAGGAACGATTCTGTTATTTTATTAACATTGCAAAAACGGGCGGCTGTACAATACTAATGACATCCCATTGATATAACTTGCAGCTTTTAATGACTTTAACGATAAACCAAGAGATAGTCGAGGGACAGTCACATAATTGTTTCATTAACTCCCATGTCGAAGTTAATATAGTAACCCCTGTTAAATTTAATCGAACAAGAAATATTTAGTGTCCATATAAAAATGTACAAGCATAAATTCAACAATCTATTGTGAATTTTTATTAATAAGTATTTATATTATTCTTTTTCTAAAATTTTAATTCATCATTGTATTGATAATAACGGTCTGAAATTTTCAAGAAGGATTGGAAAATTCTGATTTCACGCTAATTTGTAAAAATAAGGAATGGGAATAAGAAAGTAGCAAAAGATTTGATGAACTTTTATCGTTTGGTACTTTTATTGTCACATTTGAACAAAAAATGTTGGTTTAATTCCAGCTACTTCAGTTCGCCCAGAAATGGCTATCCTCCTGGCTTAGATCCAAGGTTTCCGGCATTCAAAACTGCCGCCACACCATTCGTCGGTTTGATGGCACCCTTGGGTGCGCCGCAGCCGTCAACCGTGTCAACCACCTCGCCACTCTCCAATAAGGACCCGAAAGAGCAGAAGCAAGATAGTCTGTTCGGCAATCCCATGTTCCCACCGATGTTGGATATGTCGTCCACGCAAACGCTTTTGCACATGATGAGGACCGCAAATGCCGCTCAGAATGCAGCCGAGCTGGAAACCTACCTTAAAGGTAATTTTCATTTTTACGCTTTCTTCCAAAGAGTGATAGAAACATAGAAACATAGAAATTGTAATTCTTTGGCTTGAGAAATTAGTTTCCAAAATTCTTTTATAAGCGGCTAAAAGAACGACGTATGAAATTTGATGTAGACAATATAGACTCGCATTCAAATTCTGTACTCTAAATGTTTAAAAAAAAGAAGAATTAGCTTCCAAAATTTCTTTTATGAATGACCAAAAGTTTGACTTATAAAATTTGGTATAAATATCATAGATTCGAATTCAAATTCTGTACTCCAAATTTAAAAAAGAATTAGCTTCTAAATTTCTTTTATGAGTGGTTAAAGGAACGACGTGCGAAATTTGGTACAGACAATATATATTTGATATAGACAATATAGATTTAAATTCTGTACTCCAAAGTTAAAACAAAGAATAATAAGAATTAGCTGCCAAAATTCTTTCATGAATGGCCAAAAGATCAAAGTATAAAATTTGGTATAAATAATATAGGCTCGGATTCAAATTTTGTACTACAAATTTGAAAAAAGAAAGAAGAATTAGCTTCCAAAATTCCTTTATGTATGGCCGAAAGTTCGACGTATAAAATTTGGTATAATAACATAGACTCGAATTCAAATTCCACACACCAAATTTTTTTTTTAAAAAAAAAAAGAAGAATTAGCTTCGAAAATCCTTTCATAAATGGCCAAAAGTTTGACGAATAAAGTTTGGTATAGACAATATAGATTTTAATTCAAATTCTGTACTCCAAATTTAAAAAAATGTTAGTTTCTAAAATTCTTTCATGAGTGGCCTAAAGTTCGATATTTCAAATTTGATATAAACAATATAGATTCGGATTCAAATTCTGTGCTCCAATTGCAAAAATAATTAGCTTCCAAAATTCTTTCATGAGTGGCCTAAAGTTCGATATTTAAAATTTGATATAAACAATATAGATTCGGATTCAAATTCTGTGCTCCAATTGCAAAAATAATCAGCTTCCAAAATTCTTTCATGAGTGGCCTAAAGTTCGATATTTAAAATTTTGATATAAACAATATAGACACGGATTCAAATTCTGTACTCCAAATTTGAAAAGAAAAGATTAGCTTCCAAAATTCTTTGACGAGTGGCCAAAAGATAGACCTACGAAATTTGGTATAGACAGTATAGACTCGGATTTAAATTTTACACTCTAAAAGTGATCAGTAGCCAGTATAGGGACTACGAACTTTGCACGATTAGTATCGTTGGAGGAACAGTGAATTATCTGTGATAATCAGGTGCGAACAAAAGAGACGCGGGAGTAACGAGTCCTCTGGATCTCTCGAGTCCAGGAGGATTTGCCCCACGGAAGAGGCAGAGGACGGAGACTAGGAGGTCTGGAAGCGTGTCTCCGAAGCCGAAAGCAACCCCTCGACCGACCACGCCACCCCCAGTCAGGTGTCCATCACTATGCGGCCACATGCCCTGCGGAGATGGCCAAGCAGTGAATCGATGGACCATCGAGGACGTCGTCAATTACGTGTCGTCGATCGACATCTGCGCAGAGTACGCACAGGTAAGTCTTTCAACCTATTTACTCCTCTTTAGCCCTATCTTCCTTTATTTTTCATTCAACCTGTACGAAAATTTCGCAATTTCGCAAATTGCGACATTCGTTATGGCGAACAAACGCGATACCTACTGTGTTCGTCAGGTTTCATAAGAACCGTCACGAGCACTGGGAAAACCCTGCACCGTGATGACGAGAGGTGCATACCAATCAGGGCTGGGATTTTTAGCAGCACATCGTCAGTGAAGATTCAGGGGGCACATTTTTCTTTAAATCGGGAATGAAATTCGATGGATTTGATCCCGATTTATATATATATTTTAGATTTTTCTCGATGTTAAAAATATGACACTGGAACTATTACGAGTTGTTATAAATATTCATATGAGTCGTTCATTGCACAAATCGATTAACTCCACTTTTAGAAAAATCTTGAATTTATGTGTCAAAGCACTTGGTATAGTCATAACATTTTATATTTAAAATTTTTTTAAAAGTGGAGTTAATCGATTTGTGCAGTGAACGGCTCATATATGGTATATGGATATAGTTAATTCATATTTTGAGAGGGTCTGTTCTTTCGAATATTGTACATTTTGTAATAATTAATTTGATATGGAGAAATTCGAAAAATTGAGGTTGTAAATTCAGTGTGTCGGTATTAATACGTTAAATGATAAAACACGATTTTTATTTTTTAAAATGGCGATTAATAGCTGCTGTTTTATATCATTAGCAGTGTTATATTACGCAGTTCCCAGTGCATTAAATTTCGTCATTTATTTTCGTTTAATTTCCACTCAGATAGGTTTTCTATATCTCTATGTATGTGTATACTAATATCGGGGCTAGTAGACCTAATCACCCTAACGACCAGAAAAATATCAGAAATTCATTTTACTACCTGAAGCATAATAGCAGCTTCATTTTCGAAAACGACAATTATCAGCTGCTCTTAGACATCGTTAAAACCATTAATTTACGCGACTCTTAATTCCCCACATTGCGTAATTTACTTTCATTCAACTTCGAACCTAATAGCCTTTCCACGATCTTTACGGACACTCCATCAAGCTTAATCTACCCAATAACCCTAACGAGCAGAAAAATATTAGAAATACTATAAATTTAATAATCGCGATTTAACGTCGCGGTGAAATTTACTATAATCCTCGGGGGGAAAAAATTTCGACAATCTTTTGCATTCCCTATCAAACGTACGAATTACTCCACATCTTAAAACCTTCGCCTCCCTCGATTACGACTTCCTCAATCCCAAGCCGCAGTTCACGATCATAATTAAAAGCGAGGTTCACCAAAGGCTACGCTTTTAATTGCTTCCCCGTCGCTCCGATTTCACCGAGAAATTTCTCTCTAAAAAAAAAAAAAAAAAAAAAAAAAAAAATAATAGCAAGAATATATATAAATAAATAAAAATTTAAATTAGGAAAAATACAATTTTGTTTTAGTAGCGATGTCCCATCGAATTTCGGATTTCGACCATCACTGTTTGATAATATTCCGTGACCATTTTGTGTTCTCTTGTTATTAGAAGCATCGTTTTCGCGGTTCGAAAATTAGAATTGGACCGTGAAGTCGAAGAAATCGCACGGTTCGGAAAAAATTGAACTGAACTTAAAACAGAACGTGAATCGGCTCGAAAGAAAGCAAGCAATTGGAACGTAACGACTTGATAACAGACCCATTCGATTACTTCCAGATCGTTTCTTCGAGCATTTGATTAGCATTTTCGAATCTCGAATTGCTCGAATATTGGAAAAATTCCGACACCTCTATTCGTATTCTCATTTCTCATCTCCCTCCCCATCTAGTAACGTTCGAGTAGCTTCGAGTCTCATGAAAATCCACCCCCTCGTCAGAAATTTCTTCAATTCCTACCCAACTTCATCGTCACATACTAAATCACAATCTTCCTATTTTTCTATTTAAAATTCGTCTCCATTACTAATTAATCCGTTCCCTACATAAAAATTAAGAAATCAAAAAATATTGTTAGTCGAATTTAACCTCCATAACCACCACTGTAATTATCGTCAAGGATAAATAAAATAAGCCACTCGCGAAATAAATATAAATATATTCATAAATATATTCATGATGGCAGAAGGTAAAATGTGATATAAAAAGAATAAAGGTTGTATGACGCGAGTCACCTTTACTCGACGCGTTACAAGTCAACACAAATCAACAGGATGGTGGGAAAAAACCCTATATCGAGCTATAAAGTTACTAGAATGCTGGAACATCCTTTGATATTTTATCTTTTCAAATATCAGAGTTTCTTCCATCTGTCCATGTTTTTCTTTGAAAATATAAGACATAGATAGATGGAAGAAACGCAGGATGGACCTAAGCCCAAGCGAATGTCTAACGACACGGATACTCGAGTCGTCACGAGAGCTCGCACGGAATAATTTTGAACGTGCCAGTTTTAATTGCTTTTGAAAGTCGTTGGCGTAATGAGGCGTATCGAGATCCGTCGCGCAATATCGTTTGAAAGAGAGGAGAGCCTCCTCTCGACTTCCACGTCGCCACGTCGATGAGGCAACCGGAGGAGGTCTAGGAAGCTCTGAATGACCTGGCATCAGTCAATCCGGACAGTCTGGCATCGGCCAAGCGTTCTCCGGTTAGGAGAGCTCTGTAATGACCCCTCGAAGCTAGAATCGACCCTGCACACCCCTCTCTGATCCTCGTGTCCGCACTTTCTCCCCCGTTTTCTTCCAGAGGACTCTCGGTCTCTCTCGGTTCCCTAGGCTAACATTCCGCCGCGAACGTGAAGTTATTCGTAATCGTTCCGCCTGCTCGCTCGTTTTTATTGTCTTTTCACGTGGAATCACGTTTTCGATGGAACGGGGAAAAGTTGTCTTCTCTGGAAAGGCGCGCTTCGACACCCTGCACACGCGTGTTCGCGCGTTCGTGTGTGGTGAAAATGTGGCTGGTCGCTGGGTCACGGGGGGAGCGGTGAGGCGCGATGGAACAAAGTGAAAGGGTGAAGTTGAAGTGTGCAGAGGATGGAGAGATGCGATTTGGCTTTGGTATTTCACTTTTATGGGGATACCTGGCTTTCTTTCGCCTCGAAGGGCAAGGTTCGTTTGGAACTCGAAATTCTCGCTTGTGAAGTTGGACGAGGATTTTCTGAAATAGGGAACTTTGTTTTTGTAGCCTTCTAAGTAACATTGTTTATTTTTATCGTGATACATTGTTGACATTCTAGAGATAAAATTCGAAATTCTGGTTTATGGAGTTGGTCAAGGATTTTCTGAGATAGGGAACTTCGCTTTTGTAGTTTCCTAAATAATATTGTTTATTTTTATCGTGTTACATTGTTGACATTCTAGTGATAAAATTTTAAATTGTGACTTGTTGAGTTGGACAACAATTTTTTGAAATAGGGAACTTTGCTTTCTTAGCTTATTAAGTAACATTGTTTATTTTTATCGTGATACGTTGTTGACATTTTATAGATAAAGTTCGAAATTGTGGCTTATTGAGTTGGACTAGGATTTTTTAAAATGGGAAATTTTTATTTTTGAGTTTCCAAGGTGACACTGTTTGTTTTTATCCTGTAACATTGTTAGTACTCTGTAGATAGAATTCTATTTGCTCATGGAAGAAAGTATTTATTTGGAACTTATCTAAGGATAATTTTAAATGATAATGAAATGCAAATTGGTTCTCATTTAATCTCATAGGGAAATTATTGATAATAAGTTTCTTATTAAATGTGTATTCTAATGATCATTATAGATAGACAGTTGGAAACACTCAAAAACAAATAAAACAGGGTTACAAAATTTTTTTAAACGTGTTTATATAGGTGTGTTGCTTTTAAATTATTTACAGTATTATATAGGATTAATTTCAAAAATATTTTCTCAATAGAAGTACTATTATCTATGTTTTACTATAATCAGTCCTTTTTTATTTCCTTCATCGAAGTTCATAATTAGAATTTCAGTCAAGAGGTATGAATCCCTGTCTCATTTAAGAAATTGAAAAATTTAGGAAGTATTTTTTGTGGATTCTCCAAAGAAGGGAATTTTTTAGTCAAAAACATAATATACTTGCTATTTTTCACATTCCCTTTATTAATTCCCAATATTCCAAATTATTCCCAATATTAATTTATCCAGTATTAATCTTCATTACTAAAAACTATTAATTATTAATTCTTCATTTTATTATTTTCTTCAAATTTTATTCAGAATTGAATAAAATTTTAAAGAAAGTAAGAATAAATCCTGAGTTACTTTCTCGTATAGATTTCTCGGCAATTTTTAACGAGGGTACCCGACAATAAGAAATCAACAACACGCCTGCTATAATAATCTCCATCTCCAACACTTGCTTCCACCATCGTCTTTGTCTTCCCGCTCTTTTTTCACCCGGAGTTCTTAAATCCTCAAAGAGGATCTCGCCTTTTCATTCCTTTTCATTTAACTCTGGCAATCCTTCATGTTGTCACGCAACCGGTTCAAATGACGTTTTTGTGAACCGTGTCTGATTTTAATCGCGTAAGTGCGATATCCATTCAGCCGGGTATCCTGCTCGATCATCGTCAAAGACACGATGGATTGTTTTATAATTAGAGCTTAAACCCGACGCTATAATTATGGATCTGATAGCGGTACGGGCAAATTGATTAATCCCGGACAATTAAGCGTTACTGGCTCGTTAGCATGAGCCCCGGTATTCTTACGAGGCTCACGATGTCACGAGTCTGTTTCCTCGAGTTCTCCGGGCTCTTCGCTTTCTCTGGCTCAAGTTATTAACCTGTCACATCGTCTGCTCAAAATCCTAAAACGTCAGGGATTCTGCGGGATGCCTCGTGATTCCATCGTCGTGAATTCTTGCTTGCGATTAATAAGAAAGTTGCTTCTTCTTTTTCCTTTATATTCCCACTTTTGTCGAAGATAAAGTGACGAGATTAAACGCACTCATTTTCCCATTCCTCTTTTAATAGCGTTCTTGAACTTGGAGCGACG